AGGGGGGAGTAATATCCTATCCGCACATATCTTTAATCCATGGACAGAAAGAACAAGTGTATCAGCAAATTTTGTTTCTTTGTATCTTTGTGCAAAGGAAAAAATATATGAAGGATACAAGAAGAGGAAAACGGAATCGGTCAAGGTGGGGGATATATATTTGGAACTACATTCTGACGTCATGGACACAAGCAAAAAGGAAAGAAGCCAAAGCGTATATGTTTTAAATATTCTTGAGTGGGTCTCTTTCTAAAAAGGCCTAGGCATTCTTACTTATAAAAGGACCTCCTACGGACAAGAAAAAGGTTCTCTCTTTCGGATAGACAACACACGAAAAGCTGCTTCAACACACTCGAGGTGAGAGAGAGATTGTTGCAAGTTCACAAGAGACAAAAAGCTTGGGCGTTCAGCAAAGCAAAAAACACCAAAGAAAGGTTCCTGGGCTTTCTTCAGCAAGCATTGGACTTTCCAGGGGGAAGGACACTAGAAGTGCCAAAAGTTGTGTACGGCGCTCACTTTGGTGCCAAAAGTTTCATTTGGATCATTTAAGTGTTAAAATTTTTGAAAAACGATCACTTAAGTGCCAACTCTGGTAAGTTTGGCCGGAAATCCGACGTGACAATTTTTTTATTAATTTCTGAAGCCGATGTGACTCGCCAGAGATACAATCAGCACGTACAGTCAGCATTTTTTATTTTAAATAATTTTTTTCTTTTCTTTCTTTTTTCCTTCTTTTCTTTTCTTTCTTCTCCCTTTGGTCACTGCCGGTGACCGGAGGCCGGCCGCCTGGCCTCTCCCGGACGAGGCCGTCGCCGCTCGCCACAGGCGAGGCCCGGCCGACCCTCGCCTGGGTGACGGCGGCGACGTCCGGCGGGGCCGCCGTGGCCTCGGGCGACGGCCAGCCTCGCCGGATCTGGCGAGGGGAGCCCTTGCCCGGGCTCGCCCTCGCCCATGCGAGGCGAGGCCGACCTCGCCGGGGCTTGCCCGCCGTCGCCCAGGCGAGGGTCGGCCTGGCCTCGCTTGTGGCGGGTGGCGACGGCCTCGTCCGGGCGAGGCCAGGTGGTCGGTGGCCGGCCTCCGGTCACCGGTGGTGACCAAAGGGAGAAGAAAGAAAAGAAAAAAAGAAAAGAAGAAAAAAATTCAGAAAAGTATTTAAAAAATCGAAATATATACGTGGAAATGCCACGCTGACTAATTTTTTTTTAAAAAAAATCCATCTAAGATTAAAAATTTAATTATAAAAGCCACGTATTAATTTGGCCGGAATTTCTCGCCGTTGGCACTTAAGTGATCGTTTTTCCTCCGATATGACACTTAAGTGAGCTGGTGAAAATTTTTGGCACTAAAGTGAGCGCCGTACACAACTTTTGGCACTTTTACTGTTTTTCTCCCGACTTTCCAGTGACATCCCTGCATTACGAGTTGAGGCGGCGACCTGTTGTTTCCTTGCTCGAGCCACGATATCACCACGTGTCTCCGCTCCGAACTGGCTACGACTTTGCTGCCCGCGAATCCACTTCGAGCGATCAGCCGTGCTGTCTTGTGTTGCTAATTGCTTCACCAAAATTCTTTTTTCACAGGTTGCCCAAGTCGCTGTCCTTGCGACGTACCGAGCATCGATCCTTGAATCGCTGGCCGTGAACTGAAGTTCCTCATCACTGCGCTCCGTGAGCATTCTTGTCGTCGGCATACCGCGAGTCCATCGTGATCCGCAATCCGGATCCGTCGTCCGTCCGAAATTGGAAACGCTATTCGAGCAATATCGCGGATTAGGTAAGAATTTTCATTATTCAATTTTCATATATTTTGTTGCCTAATTTGTGAAATTGCAATCTTGTTTAAATCTTTGAGTAATATTACAATATCCATGAAAACTCCCAAGTACCCTTAAATTAGGAATTATTTCCTAATTTTGCAACATGCTATGGTCGATAGTCCGATTTCATGCCCAAAATATGACTTGCGATCGCACGGAAAATCGTCAATCCGATCTTCCGCCCGAGATATGATTCGCGATTGTGCGGAAGATTGACCAATCCGATCCTCATGCCCGAGATATGATTTGTCAATCTATTGTTTCTAAATTTAAATGGATATGGATAATATTTCTTGTGATTGGGTGTCGTGTTCATTTTATTTCTTTTCATATTTTGTTTGAATTGAATTGATTGTTTTTCCATTAAAAAAAATACAAAAAGATTAGGTAAAATTTGAGTAGATAATATATTGCATGTTTAGGTTAAATTTTGATTATTTTCTTAGAATAGATTAGATTCTTTTCTTAGATTTTATTATTACATGCTTAAATTAGGTTAATTATTTATTTCGAATTTAAATTAACAAAATATAAAAAATACCACATGCATGTCATATTAGAGTAGTTGCATTTTAATTAATTCTCATCATTAGAAATCTCACGTCTAGGTTCATTTGCGTGCCATATTAGAGATTGTACATTTAATTGTTGTTAGAATTAGGACATTTAAATAAATCGTATGTCGCATGTCATACTAGACGAAGAATGCATTGCATAATTTTTATTTTTTTTATAATTGAGGTGTCCGCGCGGCCGGCGAGCTAGGGCTCAAACCAGCGGTGATGCCCGACTAGTCCTCTAGGGGGGCTAGCGCAGCATCCCACCGCCACGACCTCCCACTTAAATCACCGATGGGCGAGTTTGAACCCAGGACCTCTCGTGAAAGGAGCTGAGCGCAAATCAACGCGGCCACCGATGGGTGGGTTGCATTGCATAAAGTTTAGTTTTTGTTAAATCAAAGAAAACCCTAAAAAAGATTTGAGTGAAATTGTATGTTAATTAGAAATCATATTAGGATTGTCAATGTGATTTTCTAACTAGCATTGCAAATGCTTTTGTTGCCTTAAGTTAAGTGTACCTTCCCTATCTTGTAATTTATTTATTGCTTTACTTTATTGGGTGTTTCATTAATGGCTGCGCATCCGCATGATCACCTCGCATGTTAGTAGATAAATTTAAAATCAATCCAAGCTACCTGCAAATATTTTTTTTTTTGAAATAAAAGAGAAAAGGTACCGAAAGTGCATTAGAGTAATCTAGTGTAATCAAGTCCCCAAATCCATAATCTCTGATTCGTAGGAGTAAAGTAATTGTTCCAATACTTTACTTGGGTTTCTAATCGACCCACAAAAAAATAGATTAGTGGCGACTCCTGATTGAAATGATTTGCATGTTAAGAACTTAAACCTTAAGACGCGAATTGGTAGGGCTTGGGAGGGCCCGAGTTAGGCTTAGACTTAATAATCCATTAGCCGAACCCCTACATGGTGCACCCCGCAGGAGGTTAGGTCGCAACAGGGAATAATTTTAAACTTTTACTTTTTGTATATTCTTGAAATTTGAGAGAAAAAAACGCTTTTTCTTACAAGAAATATAGTTTCATTTCTTTCGGACCATGTTTTGATTTTGGTCTGGTCCACGTGGAAAGAGTGAAAATAACAAATTAAACTTTTTTTAACTCTTTTCACTCATAAGATCTTTTCTTAATTCTTTTTTTTTTTGCCCGGGATGGCTTGACTGATTCTCATGACATGTATGATAAATTCGATTCATCTACTACCTTTGAACAAGGGAGACGATTTATATCACTTCAGTAACCTATGAGATTCACTGCAAAGTTGAACCAATGAAAGTCGCAACCTTGATTTACTCTAGGAGCAAACTCAAAAGGGCTTAAGGGTTCCGTCTGTACAGAAAATTGACGGCTACAGTCCGAATGTATAGACCTGATAAATGAGATTTGTTGGACCATGTGAACTCCAAATGGGACCTACATGATCAAATGGATTATATGCACGGGTCTAATGCACTATGTATGTACCAATTTTGTCATCAATACTTGGGTCATTAGGTGCTCAGTGCTAGTCATTAAGAACATCCTATGTCAATTGAATATTTTTTTTAATCTTGCATTCTTATGATAAAGATTTAGGAAAATGTCTTTTATCTTGCCTTACCACACGTGATTCTGCATCCATGTTAATTTTCGAAGGACCCCACCAACCACACAAATTTTCATTGAATAGAACTTAAAAATCTTAAGAACTAAATAGGCCTGAAATGTTCTTGATGGGCTGGGCAAGCTGTGAAATGATGATCAATAAGAGTGAGCTGGTTGAACGTGACCATGTGTAGTGTGCTTCGATAACATGAAAGTAGTTCTCAAAATAAAAACATTGTAGGAAAGATTTCATTCACATAGTTGACGTATAAGATAATTAGATTTCTGACCAAAAACAAAGATAATTAGATTGAATGCCAATAAAGAAAATGATGATTATATTGGATTATATTGGATTATTTCTAGAGCAGAGTGGCTTGTTACTAGACGAGCTTATCGAAACTCAAAACCACAATGCCCAATAGGATGACATTGCTCAATAAAATCTTTGAGAGACCTAACTTTATACACTGCCTCCACTAAAATTTGAGGTAATAAAATGTAAACAAACTTATGAGTTTGACTCTGCAGGCTCTTATTTTTGTTGTTAGTGTTCATAGTTTTCGCCATAATCAGTGGCTTTCAAGCAAGCAATGGACTCTCCACCACTCGTTTATGTCTCTTCATTTAAGCAAAGACTGCACTCCTTTCGTACACAATTGTGGACAGAGATATTGAGTGGCTTGTTGATGTCTGTTAAAATGGCGAACCATACAAGCTCTCCCAGCAAATGCAAGACTTTGACCCACAGTCGCTCGCTCGCTTCATATCACCGAAAGCCGGTCAATTCGGGGTGATCCATCGGTCAGTTTCCATCTCCATGGTCATTATCCGAGGCCCTCTAGGACCACTGCAAATTTTTCCACCGACTGGCAAATAACTGGAGCAATAGATTAAGTCAAACCGTGTGGACCCTTCTTGTTCGGAAGATAGCAGTGGTACCCATGACAAGACTAAATTATTCCATTGGCTTTAGCAGAAAACAAGGAACCATCATAGAAGCTGCTTGACCTATGAGCGTTTGCCGTGTCCCGTAAGCCGTCGCGTATTCTCTGGTTCGTTATAAAGCACCCTGATATAACATATTGATCTTGCAGTTTGGGTGATCCAATTCCGACCAAAGCCCGGATTTAGAATGCCGCGCGCCACTCCCCGTGCTCTTCCTTTGCGCGCTCGCTTGTTCTTGTTCTGCCTTGTCTGCTGTCCTTTCATTCCCTCTGTTGCTCCTCTGTCCTTCAATATAGACAGCTTCGACACGGATTTGAGCGACATATTGTACGAGGGAGTTGCGGAACTCGCCATCCAGGGAGTTGATCTCACCAAACTCTATCCTCGGCAACCCTACAAGGTGGGCCGGATTCAGTATGCCAAGCCCGTCCCCATATGGGATCCTGTCACGGGGCGCCAAGCCGACTTCTCAACCTATTTCTCGTTCACCATCGAGACTGACGGCTCTGCTCACTACAGCGATGGCCTGGCCTTTTTCCTCGCTCCTGTGGGGTTCCCAATCCCGCCCAACTCGGAGGGCGGATTCCTGGGATTGTTCAACGCTAGCACGGCGAAAGAGGGGCATCAGAACCGGATAGTCATGGTCGAGTTCGACACTTATGTGAATCGGGATTTCGATCCCCCCATGCATCACATAGGAATAAATATAAACTCGCTCTCATCGGTCGTTCATGACAGCTGGAATCCCGCAAATCACAGCGGGAAAGCGACTGATGTTCTCGTGACCTACAATTCTACGAGCAAGAACCTCAGTGTGTTCTGGTCGTTCGACGACAAAAAAACCTATACCCTGCTTTCTTACCTAATCGATCTCGCGAGTGTCCTTCCCAAATCAGCAGCAATCGGATTTTCAGCTTCTTTTGGCTTCCATGTAGAGAGACACAGCATCAATTCATGGAAGTTCACTTCGAATTTGGAGGTGAACTCGAAACCTCGCTGGCTAAGGATACCGGCCGTGGTTCCTGTGGCATGTTTTTTACTGGTGATCTTTGCAGGGTCTTGCTTTTTTTCGGTCAAGAGGGGCGAAAAATATGGTTTCCGTGCCCTCACCGACATCGCCCTCACCGACATCGATAAAGAGATTGGCGCATTGCCTGCGAAGTTCACTTATCAGGAGTTGCTCGTGGCGACCAACGACTTCGCAGACGATAGAAAGCTCGGCCAAGGTGGGTCTGGCCAAGTCTATAAAGGGTTCTTGAGACATTCAGACCGCCTGGTCGCCGTCAAAAGGATCTTTGCGGAGTCCCGACACTCCGAGAAGGTCTTTGTCAACGAGGTGAAGATCATGAGCCGAACGATACACAGAAACCTGGTGCCGTTTGTTGGGTGGTGTCGAGAGGAAGGTGAGTTCTTGCTTGTCTACGATTACATGCCCAACGGCAGCCTCAATCACCACCTCTTCGGGGCCCGGAGAAGACTGCCGTGGGACGTGCGGTACAGCGTGGCGCTCGGCCTCGCGTCCGCCCTCAACTACCTCCACGAGGAGCTCGAGCAATGTGTGCTCCACCGCGACATAAAGGCAGCCAACGTGCTGCTCGACACCAACTTTACCACCAAGCTTGGCAACTTCGGAGTGGCCAAGCTCGTTGACCCCCGGTTCAAGACTCAGACGACAGACATGGTCGGGACTTGCGGGTATCTAGCGCCAGAGTACTTCATCGGAGGGAAGGCCACGAAGGATTCCGACATGTTCAGCTTCGGCGTTGTGGCCCTGGAGATCGCGTGTGGCCGGAGGAGCTACGAGGACGGAGAGATCCAGGTCCCGCTGCACAAATGGGTCTGGCAACTCTACCTCGCCGGCAACATCCTAGGCGCGGCCGATGAAGCGATGTGCTCGGGGTTCCAGAGGGAGGAAGTGGAGTGCCTGATGATGGTGGGGCTGTGGTGTGTGCACCCAGACCCTGCGAGACGGCCGAGGACAGGGCAAGTGATCAGGTTCCTCCGGCTCGAGGACTCGGTCCCGGAGCTCCCACACGGCGCTTTCGACGGCCCAGTTTCGTATCGGCCATCGGCTTCGCAATTAGGAATGATGGAATCTCCATCTGCTCCTATCCAGGAATCTGTGTCTATTAAGTAAGACAAATCTGCCTCCTAAAGTCATGCAGAAACACATGTTGACTTAATCTGCACATACCACTTCATATACTTTGCTTCGGTTACAATCTCTTTTGCCTTGCCCAAATCGGAGGCTGGAGCTCGACTACATCACGGGGGCTTAGTAGCACTCAATACACATTGCTTATATTCAAATGAACAAGGCACTGCGAAAAGAAAATTTCAGTTAACTCCGATGTCTTGTCTTGGTTGTAGTGAGGCTGCTTCGGAGGAGTGTAGGCTCTTTCCACCGGATAGTCGAAGAGACGATGTACCTGACAATGTTACTCGTTCATCATAGCTCCGCCACTGCTGCTGTTGGAGATAATTAGGGATTTCTCAAGGATAATTTTCTATGTTAGAGGTATTTGATAATTATCTCGATCCTATGTTATCTCTTTCAAGATCGCACGTACACCTCCCTTTGATTGTGCATATTTTGATCGATATATGTTTCCTTAGCCTATAAATAAACCGATATACTCTTCGTTACGAGATATCGAAATATACAGAAAAATTCTCCAATTCACATTGAGGAAATTCTCCAATCCATTTTTTTAACTACTGCTATGGCTGACATCTTGGCATTTTTATCCTGAAAATAAAACACTCCTCTTTTGAGTTTGCGCGATCTTAAAGGCTAAGATGCACCAAATTCACATGAACTCGAGGCACCCAAAAATATTTCTTACCGGCATTGAAGGCTCGCACATATGAGAGTGAGTATAAATGTGCGCTGGGTCCACATTGTACTTCAATGTTTTTTTTTATTTTATCACAAAGGCGCATGTGAATTAAAATTTCATTAAAAAAGCCATGTAAGACAAATTGTTAGAATGTATCGCCGGAAGCACTTAAGTGATCGTTTTTCCACCGATGTACCACTCAAGTGATCATTTAAAAAAATTTGGCATTGAAATGAATACCGTAGAAAATTATGGCACATTTCCTAATGTAAAAGTTACTCTAAATAGACCATTTTATGTAAGTTCCACGTGTCTTTTTTTTTTTTTTAATTTGTTTTCGTCAGGAATGAATTGTTCAGGACTCCTGAAGTATCCGATCGATTCCCATCACAAGCGCGATGAATTCGATTCATCACGCACCTGTAAACAAGTCAGTAACTTTCAAGGTACATTGTGAAGTTTAAACAATGAAAGTGTCAACCTTAATAGCGCAGGAGCAAACTCAAAAGGGCATATGGTACAGAACTTGTAGACCCAGTGCACGATATTTGTTGGATCATATGAACTCCAAATGGGACCTAAATGATCCTGCAGATTCCATGCATGGGGTCTAATGCATCGTGTGTCTGCAGCAATTGCCCCATCAATACTTGGGCCATCAGGTGTCTAGTGCTAGTCATTAAGGACATCCCGTGTCATTGCATAGTTTTCTTGATCTTGGATTCTTAAGATCAAGATTATGCAAAATGTTTTTACCCTTCCCTATCACGCAAGATTCTGCATCTGTTAATTTTCAAAGTATTACCAGCCACACATTTTCATTGAATGAAACTTAAATATCTCAACGACCAAATAGGCCTGTAATGTTCTTGATGGGGCTGGGCAAGCTGTGATTGACCTTGATGATCAATAAGAGTAAGATGATTGACCTTGACCATATCTCGTGGGCTACGATCACATGAAAGAAATTCTCAAAATACAACATTGTCGGAAAGATTTCATGCACATTTTTGACAAATAAGATAATTAGATTGTATGCCAATAAAAAAATGATGATTAGATTGGATTATTTCCGGAACGAATTGGCTCTTTCCAAGTCGAAGTTTTCGAAATTCAAAATCAAAATGCTCGAGAGGAGGATATTATTGGATAAGATCTTTGACAGACCCAACTGGATAAAGTGCCTCCATTAATATTTGAATTGAAAATATGGAAAAAAGAACTTATGAGTTTGACTCTGTAGCTCCTTTTGTCGTCAGTTTTCATAGTGTCCATATAATTAGTGGCTTGAAAGCAATGGACTCTCAACTCTCAACCGCTCTTTAAGTCTCTGCAAGTTGCAATTCATCTATCCAAAGCTTGCAATCCTTTCCTACACAAATTCTAGATAAACATTTTTTTTGGGGTCAGAATTTCTATATAGACATTGGGTGGTTGGTATGATAATGTCCGTAAAAAAGGTGAACCATTCAAGCTCCCCCCTCACTTTTGAAATATAAACATCCGACTTATTACAGTGTCACCTAAGGTAAAAACCATAACCCGGAGTGCTCTTCCTATTGTCCAAATCAGCACCCAGATCTATATTGACAACGTCTTATAAAGTCACATTATTTTTCATGAAATAAAGCTCCATACCTGAAGTACCTCTCGGGTATCTTATTAGCCACTTCACGGCTTTCCAATGCCTTATTCCTGGATTAGTCATATATTTGCTCACAAATCCCGCTGCATCACTTATGTCTGGTCTGGTATGCGCCATAGCATGCATCGAGTTGCTAACAGCTAATGCATAAGGCACTTCAGCTGTGTACTCCCGATCCTCATTGATTTCATGCACATAGTTGACGAATAAGATAATTAGATTGGATGCCAATAAAGAAAATGATGATTATAGATTATTTCCAGGGCACAATGGCTTATTGCTAGACGAGCTTATTGAGATTCAAAACCACAATGCCCAAAAGGATGACATTGCTCGATAAGCTCTTTGAGAGACCCAACTTCATATAATGCCTCCACTAATGAGGTAAAAAAATGTAAACAAACTTATGAGTTTGACTCTGCGGCTCTTAATTTTGTTGTTAGTCTTCATAGTTTTCACCATAATCAGTGGCTTTCAAGCACTGGACTCTCCACCACTCTTTAAGTCTCTTCATTTAACCAAAGCCTGCAGTCCTTTCCAACACAGTTGTGTACAGAGATATCGAGTGGTTTGATGATGTCTGTAAAAATGGCGAACCATACAAGCTCTCCCAGCAAATGCAAAACTTTGATCCGCAAGTCGCTTCCTCGCTCAGCTTCATATTGCCGAAAGCCGGTCAATTCGGGGCGATAGATCGGTCGGTTTCCATCTCCACGGTCATTGTCCGAGGCTCTCTAAAACACCCGCAAATTTTTCCACCATTTAGCAAATAACCGGAGCAACGGATTCTAAGTCAAACCGTGTTGACATATCTTGTTCGGAAGGTAGGTAGCAATGGTACCCCATCACAAGACTAATTTATTACGTCGACTTTAGCAGAAAACAAGGAACCATCATAGAAGCTGCTTGATCTATGATCGCTTGCCGTGTCCCGTAATTATACTCAGGTTGGTTTGAAGCACCCTAATGCAACGTATTGATCTCACAGTTTGGATGATCCAATTCCAACCAAAGCCCATGTTCAGTATGCCGCGCGCCGCTCCCCGTTCTCTTTCTTTGCGCGCTCGCTTGATCTTGTTCTGCCTTGTCTGCTGTCCTTTCATTCCCTCTGTTGCTCCTCTGTCCTTCAATATAGACAGCTTCGACATGGATTTGAGCGACATATTGTATGAAGGAGTCGCGGCGGTCACGTACAGATACGTCGATCTCACCACAGGCAATCGTCCGCATCGCTACCAGGTGGGCCGGATTAAGTATGCCAAGCCCGTCCACACATGGGATCCGCTCACGGGGGGCCGAGCGGACTTCTCAACCCGTTTCTCGTTCACCATCGACACTGACGGCTCTGCACAGTACAGCGATGGCCTGGCCTTTTTCCTCGCTCCTGTCGGGACCCCAATCCCGCCCAACTCGGCCGGTGGATTCCTGGGATTGTTCAACGCTAGCACGGCTAATGAGGGGCCTCGGAACCGCATCGTCATGGTCGAGTTCGACACTTTTGTGAACCCGGAGTTCGATCCCCCCATGCATCACATAGGAATCAATAAGAACTGGCTCTCGTCCCTCGTTTCTAAGGCCTGGAATCATCAATGAATATAAAATACTTTCCCGCTGGAGTCATCAATGAACATAACATAGTAGCATGAGCGCCCAAGAGAATGCATAGGGCCTGTCCCCCAAACATTTATATACACCAACTCTAACTTTCTTTTATTTGGTTCTCTCCCGATATTTGAAAAACTGACATGTTTCTGCTTACCCAGAATGCAATCCACACATAAGCCATTATCTATGGGCTTCAGATCAGGCAGCTTTCCCTTTGATGCTAACACCTTCCTCCCCTTTTGGCTCATGGGTCCAAGCCTACGGTGTCACATTTTGGAATCAGCTTCCGAGTCAACACCTGCTACTGTTTCTCTACCACTTTCAGTTATATATAGTGTTCCCAACTTTGTTCCCCGTGCTACGACCATAGCAACTTTAACAATCTTCCATGAGCAGTACCCAAAAATAGTTATGTATCCGATGTCTAATTGATCAATAGAGATTAGATTTTTCTTAAAGCTAGGAACATATTTGACATCATGCAACTTCCATTGAAACCCATTGATAATCTTTATGTGAACATCACCCTTCCCCATAATATCCAAATGATCATCATCAACTAGACAACCCTTTCCAAACTTTCTAGCTACATAATTATACATTAATTCCCTGCATGGAGTTGAGTGAAATGATGCACTTGAGTTTATAATTCAAGACTTGACCAAACTATCAATGCCCAAAATTAAGGCATTATTGACAAGCATCTTCTCAAAGATTGCATTTATAGATTTGTCATTCTCTCTATTCCGATCTCGATACTAAATTTTCTTCTTTAGGGCTCTACAATCTCGTCTTAGATGGCATTTCTTTTCACAATTTTAGCAAATTATTTCACCACAAGATCTCGATTTGCTTCTCCCTTTGGACTTCGATTTACCACAATTTTGTTTTTGACTTCATTGACTGCTTCTCTCTCCGCATTCACTATTCAAGGCAATACCCGAAGATTCACCCGACTCTCTTCTACGAATATCCCCACAAAGAATCAAATCTTGGATCTCTTGAAACTTCAACTTCTTCTAACTAGATTCACTGTTCCTGCAGTCACTTGCACACCAACTTTAAATCAAAACTTTTACCTCGCCATCAAATTTCCACCAAACTCAACTGAGTCGTGATCATGCTGAATTTGTTGATGTGATTTGTCACAAAAGTTCATTTGTCCATCTTCATATTGAAAAGGCGACGCATAAGATATACCTTGTTTGACGTAAAGGGCTTCTCATACATGTTGGGCAAAGCCCTCATCAAATTCGCCGTTGTCTTCTCATTAGCAATGTTGGAGGCAACGTTCTGCTTCGATGTGAGACAAATCAAACCGAGGCTTGCGATCTAACAATTTCCAATTTTCTTGCTTGATCGAATTTGGTACTTTCTCGACAGAGGCTGATGTAGGTTCTTCTGAAGCAAAAGATCATCGATCTGCATCTTCTAGAAACTAAAATCCTTGCCGTTAAACTAGTCAATCTTCACCTTCCCTTCGTTTATCTTCACGCTCCCACTATTCCATTAAACCAAGCTCTGATATTAGTTGTTAGGAGCACAAAACGTTAAAAAGAAAAAAATAGAGAAAAAGAGACAAATTTTTACGTAGAGAATCCTTTCAAAATCAGAAAGGAGAAAACCACGGTACCGCACTGAATAATCTCTTCACTATCTAGTTTCAAAGTTACAACCATAAAAGAGATTGTCCAAAATATAGCACAAGTCTAAAGCATACAAAGTTAGGGTAAAAAATTACATGTATACCCTTAACAGTAAAAAACCTCTCTACTTTAATTTGGTTTCCTCTATCAGATTCCACAACTCTATCATCCAGCATTGATTTTCCGTGCAAAAAACGTTGGTTGACTTTAAATTTTTACTTTCCATTTACATGTCATTTAATTGGCCTTCCGCAATGCTGCATCTACGTAGGATTGACTCTTTTTTTTTGTCTGACGTAAGCTTGACTTCAAACCCTGAAATTATTGACCCCAAAATATACCTTGATTGACACGGCCCCAAGGACCTTACCTACCATCGCTATGCTACGTGCTGCTGATGTTATCTAACCCCGTCCATTGATCTCTTGCATTTTACACATAAAATTGCTACACATATATCAATTGTTTCACGGAGGTTGCATGACTTGACAGGTGAGTTCGTTCGAATTGCAAGTGTTAATATCTGTTCAATATTCTTTTGATATAAGTGAAACCAAAGAGAGACACAAAAAGGACCAAAACAGGCTTCGACCGCAAGGGTTGCCCTGCATCTCTCTGAAAAAGAAATTAGCCCCGCCTAGTTGACACACACCCAGGTGAGATGAATTTACGTGTGCTTTTTGGAATGTCAGCGTGTGTGCGGTCCTAGAAAATGAGCCCTTTGTATTTACGAGTGCTTTTTGGAATGTCAGGTTGACGATCATCATCATCCCTCTTGTGTTGCAGTACATGTAATGTTCTTTTTTCTGTCATCAGGGACATGAAAAAGATCGGCGAGAGAAAAAATGGGAGGAGGGAGATTCTTGTTTTATTGGAGTTGTATGAAGCTAATTAAACATAAGTTACTAACAAAAGCCCATCATTTCAAGAAGATTTGTCTACTGAAACTCCAGTTCTAAGTTTAAGGAGCAGAAAAAAATCAATCTTCCCCTCTCCAGGATAAGTCTTACCAATGAATCGATTGATTATACGTTGAGATAGTGCTTTCACAGCAAATAGAAGCAGGAACAACAATATACATGTATCCATTGACATCTTCCTTGTCTTCTCGACCAGTAAAGTCTCAAGATTGAGGTTTTGATATGCTTTTATAGAATGTCAACTGTGTAGCTGATGGGAAATTGCTCTTGCATGCACGGTGTCTTTCACAGACGAATCTCATTCTCACACGCTTGGATGAGAACGACTATCGACCAAAATCGTTTCGCAGTCTCATTGTCGTCTGCTTCGATGGGGGTGGATGTTTCGCAAGCAGTCGGATGTTGACGGAATTTTCTGTAAAACAATGAACTAACAAGATGAGAATGGGTGGCAATTGCCAATACGTGTTTTGTGTTTCAGTAATAGAATTTTTTGTTACATTTTTCGGCTACGTATTGTGATGTCTTTATATAATACAAGCTAGGGTTACGGAATTAATGAAGAATAAAATCATGATCTCTTCTCTTTGGAAAGAATTGATCTTGCTTGATGAGTGAGTGGTGAAGAGATTGTAGCTGAATCAAGACACGTCATCGTGCTCTTTTCTCTTTGGAAAGAATTGATCTTGCTTGATGAGCGAGTGGTGGAGAGATTGTAGCTGAATCAGGACACGTTATCGTTTCCTTTGACACCCCCCTGCAAGCTGATGTGGCGGAACACACAGTAAGCTTGGACTGTAGAAGTCGAAAGCGAGCTGTGGAGAGCCCTTTGGTGAAGATATCGGCAGGTTGATCGGTAGTGGAGATGTACAGAACATGAAGTTGATTTTTGGTGATCCGTTCTCGCACAAAGTGGTAATCAATTTCCACGTGCTTTGTCCGAGCATGAAAGATAGGATTCCCTGTCAGATAAATGGCTGAGATGTTGTCACACCAAAGAACCGGAGGGCCTTGCCAAGAAACACCGGGATCACGTAAGAAAGCCTCGATCCAAATGAGTTCAGCAGTTGTGTCGGCTAAGCTTTTGAATTCGGCCTCTGTGCTGGATCGAGCGACCGTTCGTTGCTTACGGGAACTCCATGAGATAAGATTTGAGCCAAGGAATATGCCAAAGCCGCCAACTGACCGTCTCGTGTCATGGTCCCTAGCCCAACCTGCATAGGAAAAAGCATGGAGATGGAAATTGCGGCTGCGAGTGAAGAATATGCCATGGTTCTGCGTGCCGTGAACGAAGCGCAATATGCGTTTGAAAATCTGCCAATGGACCTCCGTGGGTGCATGCATGAACTGACAGGCAGTGTTGACAGCGAAGGCAATGTCGGGCCGAGTGAGAATAAGATACTGCAATGCACCCACAGTATTACGATAAAGTGACGGGTCCGAGAACAGCTCACCACAATGAGAAGATGGAATATCCGAGCCCACTACACATGGGGTGGTGACAGGCTTCGCATCCTGCATTTTTGCTCGGGCAAGGTCGACTGCGTATTTTGTCTGGTGAAAAAGAATACCATCCGAAGTGCGTTTTAGTTCGATCCCAAGAAAATAATGAAGTTCACCCAAGTCTTTGATAGCAAATTCCTTTTGTAGAGACTCCAGGAGAGTAGACAATGGAGTTGTAAGGGATCCTGTAATAATGATGTCGTCGACATAGACGAGCAGGAAGATACTGTATTGGGCTGTATGCAGTATAAATAGTGAGGAGTCAGCAGTAGAAGCTACAAAACCTATGGAGACGAGAAAATTACTGAAACGTTGGTGCCAGGCACGTGGAGCTTGTTTCAAGCCGTAGAGAGATCGTTTTAAGTGGCAGATATGATGAGGATGGTGGGGATCAATGAAACCAGGTGGTTGATCCATGAATATTTCTTCGGTGAGATAACCATGGAGAAAAGCATTCTTGACATCTAGTTGTCGGAGTTGCCAACCCCGAGAAAATGCAACTGCGAGGACTGTACGAATCGTGACATGTTTCACCACCGGACTGAAGGTTTCATTATAGTCGATTCCCTGCTGTTGATGAAAGCCCTTTGCGACTAATCTGGCCTTGTACCGTTCAACAGAGCCATCTGCACGAAGCTTGATACGAAAGACCCATTTGCAGCCAATGGGCTTACCGTGCTGAGGAGATGGTACAAGCTCCCATGTCTGATTTTTTAGCAATGCGGTGTACTCTTCGGCCATAGCTGCCCGCCAATGCGGGTCTTTTACCGCTTGACTGTAACAAGATGGTGTAGATGGGACGGCTACCGAAGTGGTGAGTGCATAGGTGTGATCCTTTTGCACATGTCGACGGGGAACGGTGCCGTCTCGAAGTCTGGTCACCATGGGGTGGGCTAGTGGTGCCATTTGTGGTGGCGGA